TTGTTAAGTAAAATTGAAAGAAAAAAATATATTTTAATCATTAAACTCAACGAATAAGGATATTTTAGATATTTTATATGCACCTATAGTAATGACTAAAATATCATTTTTTTTCATAAATTCTACTAAATGAAAATAGACTGATGGTTTATATTAAAAAAAAATCAAACTTTTAAATTGACAAAATCAAAATTTTAAAATTTATTTTGTTACAAAAATCAAAATTTGGATTTATTTATTTATTTATAATTTCCCATAATAATATAATAATAGCAATAATTTTAAGTTAGTCCAAAACTAATCTAAATTACCAAAGAAAAAAAAAAAAAAAAATAGTGTTTGGTTCCAATTTTTTAAATTTAATTTTTTTTAAATTGAGTTTTTTATTTTTCATATTTTTTTTGTTTTTAATTAATTTTTTTAATATTTTAAGTAAACTTTTACTTTTTAGATGCACCTAACTTAGATATATTTAAAAAATAACATATTTATAAAAACATATTTAAAAAAATAATAAATACATAAAAATACGAAAATATACTGAATTTTCACATTTCTTTTATATTTTCGGTATTTATTGAATTTGTTAAAAAAATTTCCACAAATATTATATTTTTAAACTGTATTTATATTAAGTGTATGTAAAAAATTTAAAAGAAATGCTTAAAATATTTTAAAAAATACGAAAAATTTAAAAAAAATAAATTCAATTTTTAAAAAATTGAAACCAAATGATGTGGCACTCTGAGTTAAGTGCATCTAAAATGTAAAAATTGGACTCACTTTTTAGACACAATGATGTGATACTCACTTTTTAGACACAATGATGTGATACTCTATCTCAGTTAACACTCTCTCTTATGTATTCTCTAATTATCAATTAATTATTTCTTTTATAAATTATTAATCTAGAAAATAGAATTATATATTATTTTTTGATACATAATAGAATGTGTTTCATGACGGATGGAATCCACATAACGTAGGGTTCCCATTTGGGACTACTTTTTTGTGAGATATCTATATCTCATTGTTTAATATTGCTGTAACCATGATAATGTTTCAATTAAATCATACATCTACGTGGAGGGTTTTTTGGTTAGGTTAGTAACTATTATGATCCATTACATTCGGATAACAACTTTGCATGGACAAGTTCACGGGCTCACTTGCAATTTGTTTTTGATTATTTTATAAGATAAAAAAATTATGTTTGACATGATTTAGAAGTTGTTTGAGATATTCTAAATAAGTGTATTTTTTAACTTTTTATAAAATATGAGTTAGGTTTAAAATGATGTGGTAGACAGGTGATGTGACTTAAATAGAATGATAATTTTTTGATTTTTTTAAGGAATGCCAAACCTAGCCTTATAAATTCTTTTGTAATTAAATAGATGATTGAGAAAGAATAAAGTACTATTTGGCATCCCTATATTAGTACACTTTTTTTATCTTTTTTAAATCACATCACATTTATACTTTTCAATTGTGCTGCGTAGCCCGAATGTTAAGGGGCTTTTTTGACTTTTTGGCTTTTTTGATTTTTTTTGTGAGAGAGGATTGTAATGATTATGGGTTGGATTTGATATTTTGTTTTTTGTGGCTAAAATAACCTATTTTGTTTTTTGTGGCTATTTTAGCCAAAAAAGCCTGGGCTTTTTCTTGCCAAACGGAAGCTTAATAGATGATTGAGAAAGAATAAAGTACTATTTGGCATCCCTATATTAGTACACTTTTTTTATCTTTTTTAAATCACATCGCATTTATACTTTTCAATTGTGCTACGTAGCCCGAATGTTAAGGGGCTCGACTGCCTCGAATTTTCAAACGACGTCATTTGATTTTTTTTTTTTTCCCTTTTCTTCTTCCTTCACTCTCTTCTTCCTTCCCCCTCTCTACTTTGTTGCTCTGGAAATTCAAACCCATAGCAAACTCAACAACTCAAAATCTCACATGAAGATCAAAACTCAACAAACAAACTCAAAAAAATTATGGGTTTTTTCACCAAATCTAAGAAATAGACAAGAACATATCATCAAAAAAAATTATGGTTTTTTTCACCAAATCTAAGAAATAAAGAAGAACAGATCACCAATACTCAAGAGCAGATCCCCAATTTGCAGAGAAATAGAGAAGAACAGATCACCAAATCTAAGAACAGATCACCAATAGAGAAGAACAAATCACCAAATCTGTTCTTCTCAAAAACTCAAAAAAATCTCACAAATCGCCAAATCTACACAAATCAAAAAAATCAAAATCAAAATCAAAATAAAAATAAAAAATGAGGGGAAGAGAGAAGAACAGAGAAAGAAGGAGAGGAAAAAGAAGCCGCCTCCGTCGACCATCGCCATTGCTCTGTGTGTATACACAGATCTGTGTATACACGCACACAACCCGTCGTCCCGTCGTCGCCATCGCGCCGTTGCTCTTCTCTCTTCCTCCTTCTTCTCTCTCTCCTCCTTTCTTCTTTCTCCTTTCTCTTTTCTCCCCTCTCTCTTTTTCTTCTCCCTGGTCAAGGAGAGGGAAAAAAATTTGAAAACGACATCGTTTTCAATTTCGGGCCAATCGAGCCTTGGAATTTTCGAGCCCTCAAGCTTTATTCTATACTTTTTTACACATCTTTTCATAAAAAAATAAAAACATACTTATTTAAATCATTTCAAACACCCTTTAAATGATTAATTAATATGTAAAATATAATATTTTACTTTATTAATTTTTTTTTATCTTTATTAACTATTTCACACTACAAGGATAAAAAGTAAAACTGTATCACTATCCTTCTGTCATTATTTTGTGTTCCTTTTCAAATAGGTCAAATTATGGGATAACTACTTTACAGAGTGATTATCAGTCACTGCTGTGATTTCTTGTCGTACGTCACTCAAAATGGAGTCTACTAAAGATATTGAGGAGTTGTTTAGAATGATCTAAATAAATGTATTTTTTGTCTTTTTATAAAAAGATGTGCAGAAAAGTAGAGAGATTATGTGATGAAAAAAAGATAAAAAAATAAAAAGTGTGTACTTATTTTGAGTTGCCAAACTTAACCTGAATATTATTTATACCCAAAAAAAAAATAATAAAACTGAATAATATTATATAAATATATTGTTCATACAAAATAATGTGGTCTTCATTTTAAATTAAAATATTCATCATTATAGCTCATATTATTGAAAATGTCACTACTACATTATTACGATAGATTTCTATATTTATTCTATTATATAAAATGTATAACTCATCTAGTATATACATTATCATGCTTTTTATTTTTTTCATAAAAACGTTCAACATTCAGTAACTATGACATCTAATAATAGTTAACTCATTTTTTTCACTCATCAAACTATCCAAAATAATTTAATATAAAATTATAAACGCGCCTCAACTAATACAATTTATATTTGCTAATAATTTTTCAAATAAATTTTATTAAATCAATATTTTTCAACATAGTGATCATGCCAGATAATTGTTATAATATTGTAATTTGTAGAGAATGTGAATAAATGAGGTATTGTATTAGGTGATTAATAAATATAAAATGCATAATAAATAATAGTTGATTAAGAATACAAACGCGCAATACTTCAAAAATATTTTATAACTTCTCGATCACACTTCCGCTCCTAACGCTACTGATTTGTTATTTTATTGCCGTCAATGTGAAAGTTTGATAGACTCAAGTCCTTCTATAGAGCTAAGAGCATCTCTAACGGTGAACCAAAATTTTTACTAAATTTGCGTAAAAAAAAGTCAATTTTCTCAATTTGATATCATTTGCTCCAACCGTGCATCAAAAGGGAAGTGGCCGATAGGTTGGTTGACCGGTAAAGCAAAAAAAATTTTTTTTTTTTTTTACCTGTTTGAACCTTTTTGACCGGTTTAAACCTACCTATTTGAAAGGGAACCGGTCGATTGGTTGGTCAACCGGCCGGACAACTGATTGATTGATCGGTTGGCCCACCTCAACAGTAACGCACAGTGAACTGATGAAATCTGGAGCCTGTTCTCACTTTGATGAATTTTTTGTTCCATTCTCATTTTGTTATCAATTTGGTGAAACTATTGGAGCTCTAAAAAGTGATTTTTTCACTAAATTTTAAATCTAATGGAAAGTTTAGTTCACCTTTGGAGATGGTCTAAAATTGGACCATTGTTATTTGCCATATAACGGTTAGTATTTATTTTTTATTTTTTTCAATCTTTAAGTAAGTGAATTTTTAACATAATTTTCATATTACTAAACATAAAGGCATGGATCCCGTGTGCATTTCTTATTGTTAAGGTATGAACTTCTTATTATCTTTATGTCTAAGGGCTCGTTTGGAAATAGGTTAATTTAGTAATTTTTAATTATTTGGTTAAAATATGAATGAAAAAAAATTAGTATATTTGGGATAATTTTTTGATTTTTTACGAAAAGATGTGAAAAAAGTAGAGAGAAAAGAGAATCTTTAACTTTTTTGTATGAGTTATTAGTTTTTTGACTTTTTAACTAAACCGACCTATTACCAAACGGGGCTTAATAATAAATAAATAAAAACTAATAAGAAATTTATTTATACACAACAGTTACAGACATGGGCAGAAAAGGGAGTCTAGGAGCACTAATTCTTAGTGATATATATCATCCCGATTTTTTGCATAAATGAAATATATAAGAAAAGTCTTACCAATTCAACGATTTTTTGCATAAATGAAATATATAAGAAAAGTCTTACCAATTCAACGATTTTTTGCATAAATGAAATATATAAGAAAAGTCTTATCAATTCAACGATTTAGATTATTAAAATGGAACACATGGTGAGCCCAACAAATTGAAATTAAGAGGAAACTAATCCAAAAATAATACTCATATATGGTAATAATATTACAGAAACTCAAGTATGTATTCTTAACACAAGTACAATACAACATTGTTTTTGGAGTACAACTCTGCTTCTTTCTGCCACACCCACCCAGTATCTGTTGTTTTAAAAGCTTCATAAAACACTCTTCTTCTTCTTCGTCTTCTTCTTCTTCTCTCTCTCTCTCTCTCTCTGTGTAAATAACAAGAAACCCTAGCAACATCTATGGCTGCCAACAAGTTTGCAACCATGTTGCACAGAAACACCCACAAAATCACTGTAATCCTAGTCTATGCAGTCCTTGAGTGGATTCTCATCTTCCTCCTCCTCTTGAACTCACTCTTTTCTTTTCTGATTTCAAAGTTTGCTCACTACTTTGGACTCAAACCACCCTGCCTTTGGTGTTCAAGAGTTGATCACATGTTGGACCCAAACACTAGTAAAAGAAATTCCTACAGAGATCTTGTCTGTGAAGCACATGCCACTGAGATTTCCAAGTTGGGTTACTGTCCCAATCACAAGAAACTGGCTGATCATCCCCAAAACCTGTGCAAGGATTGCTTATCCACGCACCCAAAACAAGCCGAGAATTCCATTGAAATCTCAAGAAGGATTGGCTTCTTCACATGGGTTAGTGAGAACAGACTTGAAAATGGTGACAAGATCAATTCCAAATGTTCATGCTGTGATCAGAGCTTGAGCAATAGCAAACGAGTCTACCCTTCTTTCTTGCTGTTTAATCCCTCTTGGGGTACTTTGAAAGCTCAAGCAATGGATGATGGCAATAATGAAATTGAGTTTTCAGATACAAGTAATTCTGATTGTTTTGCAGATCACAACGTCAAAGATCGTGACATCAAACTAAAGAAAGAAGAAGATAAAGAAGATGAACATCTGATACTTTCTGATGTTGATAGTTTCATTTCTAGTGGAAATGGAGATATGAATGCAGGTCCTGAAAATGGAGAGATCAGTCAAATTTGTTGCAGAGAAGATGAATCATTTATTCTCATGAATCTGTCTCCGCGGATTAGTACTTACGATGATGAAGATATTGATCGATTACTACCTATTGCATTGATCGATTCTTCGACTATTGAAAGCCAAATATCAAGTGTGGGGGAGGAAGTTCCACTGGCAAAGCATGACCGTCTAAATGGAACTTCGGATTCTGAACCAGAGATCAATAAACAAGTCAAATCAGTGAGTGAGGTTGAAGAGAAGACTAGCTATGGAGTGACAGAAAAATTGGAGATTGGTGAGCTTGTGACCTCTTCAATTCCAATGGATGAACAAGGCATACAAGATTTAGTTGCCGGGACATGTCATCAACTTGCAGTTAGTGAAGCAGCTCAAACCCCGTGCTCTGATGACAACAATGTCGAAGCACCAGCCATTAAAGAAACAGGTAAATATATACAAATCCATTTTTTTCCATCCCAAATGCATAGTTCTCTTCATTGTGTCAGCTAAATCTACAATTGATTGATTAATGAACAAATTAAAGGTGAAGAAGATGAGGAAGATGAAGATTGTGGATTGTTGGGTGATGAAAACAAATGCATAAATAATAACATTGATCAAGGTAGGACTCAGTATACTTCTATCTTTTTTCTCTAATAAAGTACTAACTTGATATATATCATGTAATGCAAGAGAGACTTCTGATGATTAATGTTTGATATTGCAAGGTTCAAAGCAAATCCAGAGCGCTACCTCACAAGAAACAACAATTTTGGCTTGTAAAGATTGTGAAGGGATAAACTCACATTTATCGGCAAATTCAGAGCTCAGGAAGGTTGAGGAAGAGAAGTTTTACATGGATGATCTTCGCAACCTGCATAAGAAACTACAACTATTTGAGAAAAGAGAATCCGGAACAGAGGAGTGTTGTGATGGGAGTGTTATTAGTGAAATGGAAGGCGGTGATGGAGCCATGACCACTGAAAACCTTAAATCAGCACTAAAAGCTGAACGTAAGACTCTAAGTGCTTTATACGCAGAGCTAGAAGAAGAGAGGAGTGCCGCTGCAATAGCTGCCAATCAGACAATGGCTATGATAACAAGGCTTCAAGAAGAGAAGTCGGCAATGCAAATGGAAGCACTGCAATATCAGAGAATGATGGAAGAACAATCCGAGTATGACCAAGAGGCATTGCAGCTTCTAAATGAGATCATGATAAAGAGAGAGAAGGAGAAGCAAGAGCTCGAGAAGGAGCTAGAAATGTATCGTAAGAAGGTGTTTGATTATGAAGCGAAAGAGAAGATGACGATGATGATGAGAAGAAAAGATGGGAGTGTTAGAAGTAGAAACTCTTCTGCTTGTGGCAACGCTGATGAAACTGATGAGCTGTCCATTGATCTTAATCGTGAAGGAAGGGATGAAGATAGTAGTAGCTTTTATGAGCATCAAGAAGGGAGTAACATTAGTACTCCTATTGGCGCAGATTTAAATTTGGAGGAATTGGGGGTAGATCCTGTGAAACATTTGAGCACGCTTGATGAATCATTGGCAGAATTTGAGGAAGAGAGACTGTCGATTCTAGAGGAACTCAAGGAATTGGAGGAGAAGCTTTTCACATTGGCTGATGGTGAGGAACAGTCGTTTGGGGATGTAAAAAAATCAATTGGGCATTTTGCAGACTATGATGGTAAAGATGATGACCACTATGATTTTAGCAGTCCAAAAGAAAATGGGGTTTCACATGGGTTTTCGGGGAATTCAAATGGAGAACATTCTCCAGAGAGTGATATAACGCATTCCAAGGCAAAGACACTCCTTCCTCTTTTTGATGAAGAAGGGGAGTTGAATGAAGACTGGATCGAATCTGGTTCCAAATTTGATTCGGTGAACAAGAAACTTGCTATCGAAGAGGATGTAGATCATGTCTATGAAAGGCTACAAGCACTTGAAACCGACAGGGAGTTCCTAAAGCATTGCATAAGCTCCTTAAAGAAAGGAGATAAAGGAATGGATCTTCTTCAAGAAATTTTACAACATCTTCGTGATTTGAGGACTGTGGAGCTACGTGCAAGAAACATATGTGACAGTCCTTTATTGTGATCTTGGCTACAAATGGGAAGATGAGAGGTGAAATGATCATACTTTTCATATTCTTTGCACTATGATTGAAATCTTTGATTGTATTATTGTTACTTTCACCAATGCATTTGTGTTTGATAAATGCAGATTGACGGAGGACATTCCTCGTATCATCTGTATTACGAGGTAGACTTCATAATCGAAACCTGAAACAATTTTGGGCCTTCAATTAATCCTAGTTTTTGAAGGTTTCCTTCAATATTACTTTATTTCCATAGAAAGGTGGAGAGGTGAAGTGTGTCAGTTTGTATGTTGGCCTACGCAAGTTGCAAAACTTTCTTTGTTTTCCTTTGTGGGGGATGACAAGCAAAGATGGCTAACTGGCTGCACCGATGTATTTAATTAGCGAGGGACAAGGTTGTTTTGATTTGTAAAACATGCATACATTATATCTAAATGAATGGGGTTTTGTCACTGATGGAGCTGATAGTAGCAGTGAGTTTGTTATATGCATATCATGAAAGGTAAGACTAGTTTTCATATTACATTTTGCCTCGAGCAATGTAGTTGCCAATTTTCCATCTCTGAAAGTGAAAAACATTAATATTTTTAACCCGCAATTTTTGTTCTTTTAAACCTTTTGTGAATGAGTTTTGATCCAAAGAGGCAAATATGAGATGCTCATAGTTGAAGTAAATGCTTAAAAAGCATATTACATAAATGTGACTTACTAAATTCCATTAGGTGTTCATCTAAGCGAATTGGAGTCAATAAACACTGTCGTTTTTCACTTGTGGACATAAGCTTTAAGCCAAACCACATAAATGTGTGCTCCTGTGTTTTCCCTGTTTTACCTTTAAGTTCTAGTTCCCTCCTAAACTATAAGAATCACTCTAGTGACAACAAAAGGTTGTAAAATAAGGAAGGAAAAAGGAACAATAAAAATGAAATAAATGATCATACCACTAAAATATGCAATAGCAATGAGAAGGGGAGATGTAAAGAGGGAGAGAATAAACCTTCATCATCATGACTGTTATATTTTAAGGCAATTGATGGGCATTCTCAATTCTTTTATTCAGTTTACTTCCAAACTACTTTATCAAAGCCTTTGCCCACATGAAAAGAAATATTTGAAAATTACAACTCTTTTTTTTTTTTTTTTTTTTTTTTTTGGAGGAATCATGAAAATTACTACTTAAAATGTTGCTTTTCTCTTTCAGCACCATAACTATATAAGCTCACTAAAAAGCATTCTCTTGGAAACTCCCAGGTTTAAAAACAAACCTTGGAACAGTTTAGATTATGATCTTATTATATTCGTGGAACAACAAATTTCAAAGCATATTCATCATAGCAAATAAGCATAGGACTGAATTTGATTACAGTCACAAAATACCCTGAAGAGAGAAGGATATAACTCTTGTATACACTAATATGGTAGTTCCTAATATATCAGAACTAAAATAATTATTAATAGCATATCTTCTTCATCAAAGCATGTAAACACTAGTTATGATCTCATTCGAAATTACAAGTCAAAATTAGACTTCACAATGGTTGTATATGCCAAAAAGATGTACAATGGGTTCTTCATTTCCTGATAGCCCAGTATACATTGCAACGATAATATATACCTCACCTTCTTTTCAGTGAACCAAACTTACATTCAGATACCCAAAAAAAAAAAAGAACATCTATTAGAAAGTTTCTTCCTGTTTCCAGTACTAAGCTATTTCCAGACAAGATCACATGATACACTACCAAATCCGACCCATAATATGAGGTTACCATGAAAGAAAGCACCAGATAGATAATAACTGGTCAGAGGTGCTACATTTCCTCCACTTGAATAGAAAAACCACAACGACATCGCTTTGTCCTCGTAAAACTCTCTTCATCAAAAGCCTGATCATCTGTCAAAAATGCATGCTCGTGTTCTTCTTCTGTGGGCACCATTGACTTAACATCCAACTTTCTGTCCAATACATTCAGTTCCAAACATCCAGGAGAATGCCTGTCATCCTCACTACAACCAACCTGTGCACTAACTTTATCATTTGTTTGCGGAATGTCATTGCAGGTTTGTGACGCCAAACCATCCCCATAACAGTTATTCAACCTTTGCCGGGTAACAATGGATGAGAGAAGCTGATACCACCTAAGAATAGCTTGCGCTTCGCTCCTTTTCTTCTCTTCAGCCTCTCTTCTTTCTTCTTCCTCTGCATATGCCTGAAGAAGAACCAGTAGCCCATAAATTTGAGATTCATCAGAGTTCTACAAAGATGACTTCAAATCCAATAATATGTCAGAAGCAAACATCATCATAAGATGGGAGCACAAGGAAAACTTTTAGGGTCCGTTTGGATGGATGTGGATTTCAAATCAAGAAATTTGAGGTTAATAATATTGGAGAGTTGCCATTAAAAAAATAATAATAAAAATAATATTGGAGAGTTAGCTATTCAGGTGGAGAGAAAAACATAGAAGAGAACTTGAGATAAAATAGATTTATTTTAGTAGGATACTTGTAGATAGAAGAGAATCCTTAGCATGATTTCAAATAACTACTTTCATATAATTATTTCAAATCCGGCATGATAAAACTATTTAATTCAATCTTAAAATTCACAGGTAAACTATCAAATCTAAATTTGAGTATTCTCCTTGAAAAGTTAATGTCAAATCCATGCATTTCAAATCCACATCTATCCAAACGGATTAAATCCACAGCCTTTCAGGCTGCATCTATAGCCCCCACTCTCACAATGTGGGACCCACATAGCGAGAGGAAGGGCTGTGGTTACAGCCATTAAGGCTGCAAATTAGCAGTCTCATTGTAAAAAAAGTTAAATGGATCAGAATTTGACAATTATTGTGAATCTAGCACAAAAGTTCCAAAATTGTATGCATAATAGTGGTGTTCAATGCATTGAGACATGAACATTTCTGATAAACCCATTCATTCACCAAGTTGTGTTGCGTTGTGTTGTGTCATATACCTCTAAAACCGCATCCTTAAACTCAGCACAAACCACAATGCCCTCAAAGACAGGTAAAGAGCGACCATTTCGGAATTCAAATCCAACCATAGCAGGTGCAAAATCAATGTCCAGCCTCTTTGCAACAGGAGCCACCCGTGGCAACCTTAAGTGCACAGTTCCTGGTGGCAGGCACTTCTCGGACCACACATCCACTTGGCCACGTTCATTCTACAAGATAAATCAGATATCAGCAATCATAAATTAATCAGAGAGATTGAAAGTGAAAACTATAAATGCTATAGCATGCATTCTTAGAATGTTACACACAAATGATTTGTATCAGTTCTTTAAAGAAAAACAACCACGCAACCCAAAAAAGGTATTGAAAGTGAAAAAATAATTTTGACTCATAATTGTTAACTGGGAACAGGAAAATTCACGGCCAAAAAGGAAAAAGAAATATATATAATATATATACATTATATAAAACAATGGATTGGGTCGTAACTTTACATAACCAAGAAAGAAATAAATATTTTAGCAAAGCCACCCCGGAAATCCAGTCTGCCAAAGATCTTGTTCTTCCACTAATCTCAATGGCAAACAAAAAATCTATATACAGGCATCATATAGAAAAGGAAGAAGTCGCAGACTTTGGGAAGCAAACTCTAATAGTCATCAGATGTTGTACAAACACAAGTCCTCTCCACCCAACATAAATTATATGTCCACATATTTTGGCAGGAACCTCAACAAATTCTATCTATCAGCAAGATGCAACCACACCCACATGCTATAACGCATTAACCAACAATTTAATTAGATACCAACCAATCCAGCAGTGAGTCCCATGTTGACATTGAATTTATTCAACACATCATTCCCACTAAACCAATAAATAAATAAAAACCAAGATTTAAGGAAAGTACAAGTGTACCATGGATTGCAGGTTTATTTTCAAGACTTCATTATAGGATTTAGTGTGCTGCCAATTTCCATAGACAAAACATGTGCTAGTTTGCTAGGTGTCTACATTAGGCATATTATATATGTCTCAGTCTTCTAGTACTGAAGATCGGTGTTGCAAGTTGTTTTACTTGTTTACTAGACTACTTACGCCAATTGGGGTGCCTATGTTTTTTCGTGGGGATCATTGTTCCAAGCGTTTTCCACATATTTCAATGTGTTAAATAGTACCTTATTTACTGCAATATTGTGTGGATGGTAATAATATGATTGATTAATTAAAACCAGTTAACTGAACTAAATTATCCACTTGCTAAATTGTAATAAGTAATTTGTTCAAGTTTAGCTTGTTCACCCCCTTTTAGGCCCAAAATGTTTACCTCTACCTTTTCACTTACATGAAAGTTAAAGTTCCTGTTGAAGCAAGACACATTCTGAATTTTAACAGCCCCAAGAACAACCCCAAAAAAATTGACAATTCAACGTATATTAGGTATGATAATGTGAAACCTCTACATACAATTTGAGCTTTGTTTCAGAAAAATATAGGAGTATGACAGGTAAAAATGCATTCCATGTAAAAGCCAATTCTATGTAGTTTTCTGTAGATTAAATCAGTTTCGAGGAAATCTACTGTACAAAAATAATATGAAAAAGGAAAGGTGAAAAGAAAAAAAAAAAACAACTTTTATGTTTCACTATATGTCATTTCCCATAAATGTCTAAATTATGGGGTTTCAGTTTATCTTTTCAGTTGATCTTTTCATCTTTTCATCAGCTTATCTTCTCTCAATGGACAACCACACAGCAACCATCTACATCATTGTGAGGTTCAATCTTCTCTCCCTGACCCCTTTGTCTAGTTTTAACCCCGATATCAACCTGCTCTCAACCCCTATGTCGTTTGTCACGCACACAACACATAACACACTAGTCTTCTCATTCCAGCTAATAGTAATGGAAACACACGAAGCTGTAGACAAATCATTGTTACCTAAGGATAGAATTCTTCCTCGTTATGGATGATATTTGCTTTATGGCAACAAAAAACTCCTCTCAAATTATATATAAGGAACCACATTTATGGTAAATTAATAACATTTCACCTTAGGAACAATCCCATTGACAGCATGAGGCAGACACAAAGGTTCTGTTTGCCACTTCCCATAAAGCACAATATTCCCTTCACAACCCTCTTCACCATGATCATCAGCTTCAGAAGTTTGTGCTTTGCTGAGTTTCAGAGAACGCTTCAACACCTAAAAAAAAAATCACAAATTGATGAAGATGAACTGCAACAAAAGTGCTCGATATGTCAACTTCCAGAATTCTAAAATTCTTATGAGCCAGATCAGACCTTTGCAGGAAGCTCATTGGCTTTGACTTGCAGCCCCTCACGCAGCCATCTTTGTTTTGTATGGAGTATTTGGACACAAGTCCTTGGGTAGACTGGATGACCTGAACAAAATCCCAATATAGGCCCCTTTGGATGAAGTATCTGATACTTATTAAGCCATCTTTCAAGAGCATAAAGGTGATGGGTTTTGTAGGCCTGCATAAAACAAAAAACTTTCAGATTAACAAATAACTTTTAAAGCGCCTTATATAACCATAACAAACATTTTACCTGTTGATTAGTTGGAAGAGGCTCAGTTAATGCCCTAGTTTCCAAGTCCATGTCCTCAAGAGAGCTCCTGCTAGCAATAATAGGATTCCTTGCAGGAGACTCTGCACCCAGTTTCTTACAAGCCTCTTTTGGCACTTCCATTGCTAGCTGCCCGGGCAAGATGGCAGCATCTGCTAGAATACAGTTTTGACCTAGAGAATCAGAAATTTTAAATGCTCCTACTTTCTCTTGTCCATTTGAATCATCCTGCTCCAAATGGATCACTCCTCCAGTTGCTCCGGACTCCAACTCCTTCAATGGGGCCAAAATGGTGCCCCACCAAATTGGATCAACTCGTTGTGATGCTATCTTGTACCATTTCATGCAATACCTGGAACACATATCTAGTGACTCTGAGTAAGATTACCAGAAGGGTAACACAAAATGACCAAAAATAGTATATGGAATTCAAACAGTTATTTTCTATGGGCTCTAAAGTACAAAGTAGATGACAATAACAGTCTTGTAAGAAAAATAAATCCCCCGTGTGTATGCTGTTGTTGCATGTGCATGCTGGGGACTGGGGACCGGGGACCGAGGAGGGGGTTATAATTTGGCACAAAAATTAAAAATTTGTTCTACTCACATCAAAAAGCTTCCACGGCTAGATAAACACATTTTTGATCGAAATGTAGTCAAATGCTGGAATCATAATTATTATAACTGCATTCCAACAAAAGTTTCCTATGCATGAGTCGATGTATGAATGCGACTATGTGGGCCAAGTCAGCATATAGGATATCATGCTTTCTAGCAAACCTTTAGTTAAAAGGAAAAGGGAGAAAAGAAGGAGCCAAAAGTTCAAAATTTATGAAACCAGAATGCTGAGAATACTTTATAAAGGTTATTCCCAATTGCTAGTCCCTGAAATCTAGGGTGCTGGGAGGGGTAGATCAGACACAGACCTAAACTTTGGCATTATATGCACAAAGTGGATGCTCAGACTCAAACTTGTATTCTCACTCTTAAAAGCCCAAGCTTATACCATTGCACAAAACAATGACCCCTAAGCATGTCATTACGATAAATAAGAACTTGAAAAACTTTCTTTCTGACATATAAGCATGTGTAACTTTTTGACATCTAATTATGCTTGAGCCCATAAACAACTTCCAAACTCTCTGAAATTTTTATTACCAAATTTCCAGTATTCTAAGATGTCCACAGTTTTCTAATTAAAATCTTACCACAGCATCCTGTGTCAACACCAATCCAGACCAAAGAAATTTAAGAACTACTCAAACCACACAGCAATTTTAATTATCTGAGCCCAAAAGCTTGTAGTAGAAGATGAACATTAAAGTGGAGTAATTCTGCATTGTCCCTACAAATTTTTCGTGTGATACATTTATACTTATCCCTACCTCCACTGGATGAACACAAATGTTACTAGAACAATGTTTGAATTAAATATGCATCCACGGGACTCTAAAAAGAGACCACTATCTAACGGATAGAGCAGAAAACTGAGATCAAGAATTAATTGAAGACTTAAAGCCTCAAAAGATATAAATGACATAGATTTTGCATGACAATTGCAATACCTAGATTTTGCATGACAATTGCAATACCAGCTCCTCAGAACAAGACTTCTTCTCCCTTAGCCTCCCAGTGCACAATCACAGTCATGCTCTTGTCAACTAAAATTTGAAACTGAAGTCACCCCTGGACATTGAGTTGTCTTTCTATGGAGCAGTGACACCTGAGCAATACTAGTCTCCACACTCGGGACTCTCTTGACTTCTAAGAAAATCCCCAAGTCAACTTTCTTACTAATGCAAGCCTATAGTTTATTATAACACGGAGCAGATTTACCACATAAATCATTTCTACCCAACTTTTAATAAAAACACGATGATTCACATGATAATACCTTAGAACTAGGTACAGAAGAAAAGAAAGGGTTAAGACAGGGGTCAAAGAACATCCAAACAAAGGTCATCTCAAATATATTAGTGCTTACTCTCTATATATACCTTCAGTAATCATATCATCTGACGATGTTGTAGTTACTGCCACCTTTCAATTGACATTGATTTTGTATATTGTAGTTTTAACACTAAATACACACACTAGATGCCACATTAATCAAATGACCACCTTTCAGATATTTATTGATCAACTCATATGTGTATTCAGGGATGCAAACACCCAATGTATACATCAAAATCTATACCTTTATATCTCTACAGGAATATACCACAATTTCCCCAAAAACTCTACAGAAGAATCAAGAGCGAAAGGGAAAAAATCCCTAAATAAAATAAAGAGACATGAGAAATATTCCCTTCAGGCACAATAAAGAGCTGTCCTCATTCTCAAGATCTCCACCCTTTCTCCCTACATACTCACAAAAAACACATAAAGGATCAGTCACTCAACTCTTCCTACACCTGCCAGCTGGACTCCCTTTAGCCTAAGTAATGAGAAGATGCCTTCAATATACATATTGTATAATCCTTTTTTACACGAACAAGATTACTTCAAGCTATGAATTCTTTTCAAAAATAGATGCCTTCACGAGGTGTTAATGGAAACAGGGATGCTGACGATTTCCAAAGAAATAGGCTTACAGAATTATATTGAGAAGATTGTAAGAAAGATAATGCAATGAGGAAACAAACTTATCCTCTGGGAAGCTGATAATGTTCAAGAACCCCCAAACTACTCCTGGATTGGGAAATATTGTGATTGTCACAGTAAAAACATGCAGAGTAGACATGAAAACAATAACCTGCGGGTCACATCTTTAGCTCCAAGTCCAGCAAAAGCAACTGCATATCTCAAAGATGTTTTGCACGCAGCAGCCGCAGGTTCTACTTTCTGTTCTCCATCAATAATAGCATTGACAGCATCAACATGCACCCACTTTCCTGTCAAGTTCTCTCCACTGCAGTAGACTTCTGCCCAATATAGAGGAGCTCCGACTTTTCTTGATCCAAATGCAGTAGAAATTCCCTGAGAAGACGGAGATTCTACCGTTTTAATTGTTTTCATTCTTTTAGCAGGAGACGAGAGATTTTCTGAATTATTATGAATGTCATTTGCATCCAAGATCATACTGCTTCTAGAAGTCCCAACTGCTGTGGTAGAAAGAGCCATTTCCAACTGCATCTCAAACTCAAGATCCCCTTTTCTCTTGGATTCCTCTTTTGATTTCTTGGTCAGGCACATATCAGATAATTCATTTGGTTCCTCCGAAGCTAACGTAGACTGATCAGCAATTGGAGTATCTTTGGATTGAGAGGAATTTCTTGATGACTTGCTATTCTTAGCTCTGCATGCACCCCTTGAGGAAGTTTCACAGATGTTGCCCTTGTCATCTGATGATGATTGTTTCACGGGAGAAATAGAAACCTGATTTGGTCTAGCCACCATCAGTGTGGAAGAGTGAAATATGCCCTTACCTGCTTTGCTTGCATCGTTTCTAACAGATTCAGATTTGTCAGTATCAGGTTTCAAGGAGGCCACATCCAAAATGGACACAAACCTGAAAATAGACAGACAACTTCAAATCAAATACTTCAGCCCTCGGGAAACAACACTTACCTAGAATCAAGAAGAAAAGGACAAAACTTGTAGAGCAATTATCACACAGGAACTTTCCTTTTACAATATATTGATGTAGAAAAGTAGCCAGCAAAACTAAGAAATGCAAATAACAGCATTTTGAGCTAATGAAGAACTATGAGTGTACATGATATTCATTATTTGCTAAGAACCATCACAGATAAGTTCTAGAACCTGCTGGAACTACAAAAAGACCTGCCATTATGACTACAGAGGAATTATAATATATCCCAAGAAACCATTGGAGACAATTCTAGAACCAACAGATGATTCTTTGCTGGCTATTCAAAAGATATTTGTGCATGCACACAAGAAGACTAGTGACTGCTTAAAATCTGTAGTTTTTTTTTTTTTTTTTTTCTCTTTCTTGATAAGAACAAAACACACCCCAGCTCCTAACTGGGTCTTAAACCCTGAACCTCTTCCTTTCAGTCTGACAAACTAAACCACTTAGAGAATCCTTAGTATGTATCTTTAAACAGTTAAAAAAAAAAATAGAGATAAAATTAAATAAGAAAATTCTAGAACCAGCAGACAATTGACCTTGGTCCTTAGAAGTGCCAAAGATTTCACAAAAACTACATCCATTTATTCACAAACTCTGCCTTCATTTGAAAAGTCAATAAATATACAAATCAGACGCAAAGTCATACAAGTATCAGAGAATTTGATGGACTATTCCCATTGCGACAGGGCCTTCTTAGCAAACATAAGCAACCACACAAGTTAGGTTACTTCTTATTCATCACAAAAATTTAAGTAGAGATGTCCAATTTTCTCAAAGGGCTGAAGGGCTCAAGCACAGAATTTTAAGCCCCAAGGTACATGGTGATGGTGCATATAAAGTGCAAGCTACATGCCCAGAGCTCACCTTGTATCTTGTCCACAAAACAAGAGCAAGATTTCTTTTAGCATTTTAGCTGACTGTCGACATATAATTTACTTCATACACAGTTTACAGTTTGAGGACTCTTTTGAGGTACTCATTGCCACTAATTCAGAAAGCCACTTGTTAAAAATTTTTATATCTTCCACATCATTTTGTTATGATCTTTTAGACACTAGATACATATCAATATTATCCTAATCAGTGTCAATACTCACACATATTCTACTGGTATACCTATCATTATACCCATGCTAAGGGTCTGCCCAAATTTGGCATGGTGAAATATCACAAAAAGAAGACATTTTTTTTGTCAGCACAAAAAGAAGACTTCGCATTCCAGGAAGTTACAAAAGTAACTTCAACGTGAGGTCTAATGTCAATTAAGGAAACTCAGGGAGCAGAAATGAAACCAAAGCAGTAAAGATTTTAGGTTGAAAACCAATGACCTACTCTCGCAGGTTTCTTCCTTGGCATCATAAATTAATGCACAGAATTTTGGGCTTTATACAGCAAGCAAATTGAATTCATTGTTCAGTCAAAATTTAAAGGTCTTTAATTGCTCTGCAGCAACCAGGTATCTCACATTGGGACACAAGTGACACCCCGACTATGGTTGAAGATGCTAACCATAAATTTTAATGTAGAAGGAAGTGTGAAGGAGCATGGCTTATGCCTGAACTCCCAAAGCTTACAATTAAGGTATCAGTACCAAGGAGCATTAATGGATAAAGCCTTGGTTGCCAAGCATGAGACCTCAGGCTCAAGTTTGAGAGCAGCCAATAAGGTCCAATCATGCCAAAGGTTAGACCTATGCTCAGTTGGTAAGGAAATAAAGATAATGAAACTGAAATCACAAATGTCAAAGAAATATTTGAAACTACAAAAAGAATGGATGGAAACAAAATGAAAACATTGATTATTAGAAAACAGAAATTCCAACTTCAGTTATGTTAAAACAGTGTACCGGGTTGTAAGGTTCAGAGCTCTAAATAGCGCCACAGACAATGCAGCAACCTGGGAACGAAAAAAATAAAGATTCTGAAACATTTTGCTCAGAAAATAAAGCATCATGTAAAAATTGATTCAACTCTTCCACCAACACAATCAACCAGTTAATCAGCAACTTTGTTCTTTTCCAAAAGAACAAAAATTTCATCAGAGCATAAAGAAAAAGAAAACTGTTTGCAGGCACTACGAAAATGAACCCAAAAAAAATGTAGTAAGGTACTTTCCTGACCTAGAGAACCCATTAAAATTTAGATAGAGCTTATACAGAAAGAAAGCTGAATTCTGAAGCATGCACCGATGGCATACATATGTGGATCCCAGTTTCACAAGGCATGGTCCGGGGAATCAGAGCTGGCCTTCAGAAAAGGCGAAGAAAAAAGTTTAACCCTTATAGTATTAGTAGACTCGAAAATGAGGCCCGCTCCAATTTATCTAAGTCCAAAATCCAAACCACAGAGATTTTTTTAATTTTTTTTATTAATCAATATGAGATTACAAATATAACATAAATTGCATACAATTGGACAATCACAGTTAATCACAATACAGCACATATCTAATATCTAATAATTAACAATCAACCCAACAAAAGTCTCATAATAGGAAAGAAATCAATAACACAACAAACAACCCAACATCCAACATAAAAATTTATAAAAAAAAAAAAAGCCATAATGAAAGAAAAATTATCAATATTTGCCTTTCGTAGAAAATCGACCCACTCACCTCCTAATTAAGAGTGTATAGGAAGGATGGCCAAATAAGCACCAAAAAGCAAATTGAAGTAGTCAATTATTTGAAATTAATGGATAGTTGTTTCCCAAATGCATTGATTGTATGAGATTACAAATATAACATAAATTGCATACAATTGGACAATCACAGTTAATCACAATACAGCACATATCTAATATCTAATAATTAACAATCAACCCAACAAAAGTCTCATAATAGGAAAGAAATCAATAACACAGCAAACAACCCAACATCCAACATAAAAATTTATAGAAAAAAAAAAAAAGCCATAATGAAAGAAAAATTATCAATATTTGCCTTCCGTAGAAAATCGACCCACTCACCTCCTAATTAAGAGTGTATAGGAGGGATGGCCAAATAAGCACCAAAAAGCAAATTGAAGTGGTCAATTATTTGAAATTAATGGATAGTTGTTTCCCAAATGCATTGATTGCTTATAAAATACTGTTAACTATATGAGCTACAGTTGCCTCAGGAGAAAATCTTTTAAAGTTGAGATTGATTAAATCTTACTTCGGTCAACAATGTCACGAAAAAGATTACGAATTAATTATATTATCTATTGAAAAGGATATAGTGGCAAGTTTAATTAGTAATTTTACATCTAAAAATGCAAGAAGAAGAATTTTTAGTTGATAATTTTAGATTTTGTTTAATATTGTTTCTTGTAAACTACTAAACTACAAAGCCACATAACCACATTTTATTTTTATTTTTTTGTAATAATTTCTTCATGCCTTGATCTAAATAACTAAATTTTATTATATAATTTTAGTGGGTTATATATGCTAGCAGACTTTATGTGGGTACTAGCATTATAAAAAATTGGATTAATTACATTTTGCCTCCCTGTAGTTTAACTCGAAAACACATTTCGTCCCTGTAGTTTAGAAATACACACTTAACCCCCTTGTGGTTTGAAGTGAAATGTAAAAGTAACGGATTCTGTCCAAATTAACTGTGGGTAGATAACACGCCACAAATTAGGCGTGTGAGACCTATCATATAAACATGGGCCCTCAAATGGGTTCATCAAATGACATTTTTTTCCCTGTTTTTTCCTTTCTTTTTTTCCTTTTTTTTTTTTTCTTCTTCCTTCATCCTCCTCCCCTTCATCACACTGTATGGCAGCAACCTATCTACTCTGTCCTTCCTCACCTCTTCTTCTTGCCCCTACTCATTATCTCCTCCATCTCATTTCCCTTCTTTTTTATCATGGCTGATGAATATATATATATATATATATGTAAATATTTACGTGTGGGTGTGTGGGTGGATCTTCCTACTTAGTTGGCTGGACAGTCAAGGTTGTTTCTACGAAAAATAAATAAATTATGAGGAGATAAAATTGCTAGTAATGCAGCTGGAGGCAAACATGGTGGGTGGGCAATTTCAATTATACATATATGATATATGTATTGATTGATTGATATATATTTATATTTATATATATAGGTGTATATGTGTGTGCGTGTGTGTGTGTGTGTGTGTGTTTATGTGTGTGATTTTAATTTGAAAAATCTTGTGCGTCAGAAATGGGTGTGTGCGGCAGAAATGAAAAATTATTTTTGGTTGATTCTGTTAGCTAAAAGAAGAGGGGTTGGCCATGAGGTAGGGGAGGAGAAATCAAAAAAGGAGAAAAGAAGAAAAGAAGAAAAGAAATAGAAATACAAGAAAAAGAAAGAAAGTAAAACCTTATTCTTACTTCTGAGATTATTTTTATTTTATTTTTTTTTTGATAAATATTCTTACTTCCGAGATTATGAAGCTACTACCTCCTCTGCAGTCCCTTCACGAGTCTCGAGCGCAAATGCCAAAGCTGAATGAAATGATCTCTCTGTACTGCTTGGACTTCTAATATGGAAATTATTGTGAAACTGCAAGTTATGCAAGACATCAAACGAATAGATAAGAAAAAAACAATGGCAAAAGAAGTTGGTATGGTCTCTGTTTGGAGAACAAAATTCCAAATAACATGAAAGAAGAGAAAAAAGAATAGTGTCATATACCCAACTGACAAGTGGAGCCAGTGCATTAACTGTCAATTTTGTGACCTCTGATATCCTCAGCAAGTGTTTTGGTAGAAGTGAAAGTAAGGAAGCCTGCCATGATAATCGAATCCCCCAGGATTAACTTGCTATTCAATACAGTGGCAAGAGAAAAAAAGGAAAGAAAACAAAAACAAATGAATACAACAAAAAAAAAAAAGAAAAGAAAAGAAGGTTGGGACATGAATAAACAACCATGATACCCATTTGTCTCGGTTGCTTAGAGCAGAGCTATGATATGAGTGAGCAACAGTCACATAAGAAGCAGATATTGCAAATAATGCAGCCATTTTCAAATCCTCATATTCTGCTAATCAAATCAATGGGCGTATTTGGCTGGATCCATATGCTGTTTATTCATCAAAATGGGACACAAGAATTGCAGACCCAGATTTCAAATCCACATTACTAAAATCCTTAAATCCAAATGGAACCTAAAAGTTCCACCATAACAATTGGAAGCATCAAAGGAAATGAAAGCCATCGCCGGGTTATAAAAATGATGAATTTCAAGCATTAGTCTTTTAACACATTAGCCACCTTTTCTTGTAATATACCCCCAATAAATAGCGAAAGCAAGAGATTCCCCATGACATTTCCTAGTACTACAAAGGCATCATAGAAACTTAAAATTGCCATTCTTACCCTAATAAAAAGCCCAAACCACCAGTTTTACTTTCTGATTTATTTAATATGATAGGCATGGACAAAGAAAAGCCTTAAAATTGCCATTCTTACCCTAATAAGAAGCCCAAACCGCCAGTTTTACTTTCTGATTTATTTAATATGACAGGCATGGACAAAGAAAAGCCCACAAAGTTTACCAGATTTTCTTCTTAAGGCTTTCGCTGTCACTCATCAATAAGGAGTCCATAACATGCAGATATAACTAGATTTACGTGAAAAGTATCGAAGAAAGAAGTGCAGGTGCCACTCTCCAACGTCTATACTTGGAGGCCAACAGTCAACCTCTTATAATAATTAAATGGTTTGGGACAAGTGACAATGGCCAACACAATGTGGTCATAGGAGCGTCCTTGCTATTCAGTTAATAATAGATTCATTTGAATATGATCATAACAGAATCCATGGCAATAGCAAATTGAATGGACAATATTGAGTAAACATATTTAAAGGGACATTCCTCGTGAAATATGAAGTTATGCAAGAAAAAACCTGAATGAGAGGATCATTACAAGCATTGTCAATCAACCTTCCTCGTCCAAGTAAACAAAGTAAATGCACCTTGTGCACAAGCTCGGCCAATTCCTGTGGAAATAATTAGAAAATGTTAGCCCGCTCAAGCAAAAGGCAAAAGTTTACAATCAGGTGAACATGACATCTAAACTTTTTAATGAAGTTAACCTTATCTTCAGCAGAAGCTCGACGAATAGTCTTCCGTTTACCAGAATCTGGGGTCCCCTCAAATTCTATAGTCACTCCATTAACTAAGTCTTTTTGAAAATTGTTTACAGAATTCAAAATATGAAGAGAACCATCTTCCCAAAATGACTCGTCCAATTCTTCTTCACTATCAGGATTAGTGTGATGGAATGCTTTCCCTTCAACCGTGTCTTTCGATGGAGTGCTTTGTATTGCATCACTACTACAACCTGCACCATCTAAGGCATTTTCTTTATTCCTCTTTGCTACACCATGTTCATCAGTCTTCTCAGACAGACTTTCCGACTGAAAAATAAAAACAAAAGGATAGAGGACAAAGAAAACAGAGGTTAAAACTCTTTTCCTTAATCGGTACAACCAAAACTCAATATCAAACAACTTCATATTGAAATGGTGATAGGAAATTAAGAGTCTGTGTAAAGTAATTGCTACTCTATGAAAACTGAACAAAAATAAATAGGCCAAAATTGCACAACAACTATTGCCCATGTCCATGCTATGAATGAAAAATAAAAATGAAGTCACAAAAAAAAAAAAAAAAAAAAAACTAACTTTGCTTGCAAGATCACACTGACGGAGATAGTTATCTTGTTTCTTCAAAGCTGACAAGCCACGTGCATTCACTCGTTTTAAAAGCTTTCCTACAGCCTCATGTGATATGGCAGTAAGAGTGCCTGAAATTATACCAGCATCACATTCACATTGATGACATTGTAATTTATTAATCCATTACTTCAACCATATTAAACTTTAACTAGAACAAAAAAATCGGGCTAATGAACGAACCATCTTCATTAAGAGATTCCAAAGAGTTTGAGCCTTCCACTGGTTCCATCACTTGTTCACCTGATGTAATAAAAGGAACAAAAAAAAAAATTGAGACCCCTTATTTGTATCACAAACTGAAACCAGACAGAATGAGCTTGACAGATCCGATTAGAAAATGAAATGAAGCATAAAACCATATCATGATTTCCTCAGTTTTGAAAACTGACCCATCTTCATTCTCATAGGTTCTTTACTCCAATTCCACTCTCTTGACCACACACAAACACACATATACAGACACACCCGGAAATATATGCAGTGACAGGGAGGACAAGATATGTCCAGATCTTTTGAAATTGTCGAGTATTTCTGATTTATGTGCATAGTTGGTTAAGATGGTTAAGACTAGAAAACCAACAATTTATCCATTTATTGATAGATTGGTTGTCAGACTTGTGCTTACACTTCCCACTTCTACCACAATTAGTGCTTTCTCTTCTATAAATAATAAAAGTTAGCTTCGCAACAAAATGAAGGATTATTTTATCACCAACTCTTTGATTGTATACATAGAAAAGGAATTTACTAAAAAGTTTAGTACAGATTCAATCATAGATGAATTCCATGATATGAAGCCACTTTGATTCTAGAGTATGTATAATCAACTATCCCTTTCTCTTTGTCCTCTATTATATTTATTTATATTGAATATTTTGTCCCATATATGTGTTGGGAATAATCCCACCTTAAAACTTTGATACCCCATGTTAAAATATGAACCCACATGCCAATGGAAGCTACCCATACCCAAAACAAAATGCACACACAAAAGATATAATATTTAACGTGGTTAAACCCAAATGCTTACATCCACGAGAGAGGGAGGTAAATCCACTATGTATAATAGAGAATACCCGCTCACTGCTCAAGGCTAATTGAGTCCTTAAGCCTTTCCCGCTCATTGGTATTTTACATTTCACACTCCTCACCTCAATCACACACACCCTTGATAGCTCATACTCTCACTCACCCATTTTGGAGAGTCTCTCTCTGAGTCTCAACCCAACCCATACATCCATATTTATACATAACATAAGATGGTTGAGGAGATACACAAAAAAACCAATACAGAGCATTCACATTGCTCCATGCCAACAACACTTGGAAACCTCCAAAAGCGTGCCACCGAACCAACTAGCTCAAATAACCAATTAATATCTATATAACCCAATAATATTATTATTGTACAATGATGCCACAGTTCCCAAACAAAATGCAGTCATTTACAAGACCATTAAAACTGATGTATCCCCCAGCAATAACACAAACCCAACCATGTGCTAATAAATTGCACATTATGGTTTAAAAATTTTAAATAAAGTTTACATTATTTGTTGAAATTTTGTGAACGTAATATGTTTGGTGTAAAATTAAAAATCTTATTGACCACCAGGAAAGTAAGATTGAGAGCTGGAAACGGGAAAATGAAAATGGCACTGAAACTATTAGATTAGAACTAGTTGGTCCATTATTGTGGAAACCTAGACATGGAATTATTATTAAGTGTGAAAGAGAAAGAGTGGGGGGGTTGAAGAGCGTACCAGTGGATTGGTTGTGTCGCTTGGATTGGTTTCTGGTTCGCATAGCCTTTTCCAAGTTTGATCGATCGATGGAAGAGACCACGAGAGCCGGGAAGGGAAGGGAAGGTGTACCGGTCCACCCCGAAGAGCGTACGGTCTCGACCGATAGCCTGGGCTGTGATGGAGTGTAAAAACAGGGCCTGTTTATGGAAACAGTGGTGCTCCAAGTTAGGTCGTAGTAATGATGGACAACCCCCACAAAACATCACCCCCACATTGGTCCAAATAAGAAATAAAAAGAAAAAAAATAGGGTAAATTACATTTACCTCCCCTGAAGTTTCTGACAAATACAGGGACCACCCCTGTGGTTTGAATAATTACAATAACCTCCCCTACTTTACCTGACAATATCAAGATTCCCCCAAATTTTGACAGCCATTTATATACCTAACAGACCTTGCTGATGTCATCTAATGTAAGCACTAAAATACCCATAATGCCCATAATGCACTAAAATGCCAATTAAAGAATTTTCCACAAAACCCAATCCAAACCCAATCCAAAAGCCCCACAAACCCAGCTCTACCAGTTCTGCAATTCGTCTTCCTTCTCTCCTCATCTTCTTTCTCTTCCTCTCCTTCTTCTCCCGATCGCGACCTAGATTGTAACCAACCGCCATAAACCCAGATTGCAACCCAACATTGCTGCCATCACTGCCTACTATATCTCTAAAAACTATAGATCTAGGGTTAGGATTTTACAAGAAGAAGAGGAGGAGGAGAAGAAAAGTAAGCGACGGACGGCAGAGGAGAGGGAGTTGAGGAAGACTTGTTGGCAGAGGGAGAAATAGAAGGAGGCGGTGGTGTGTCCTCGACGAAGACCTTCGTTTCAGCGTCGATGTTGGAGGAGAGGAGTGGCGGCGGAAGGGTTGTCATCGTCGGAGAAGTTGATGTCGGTCTCCCATAGGAGTCAGTTGTTGCTGGAGAGGTCTTCGGGGAGCCAGACGGACTCTTAAGCTTTGTTTCACTCGTCGCCGCCGCTTTTGCCGGTGGTGGATAGTGGCAAGGGAGGTAGTAGTAGTGGAGGAGAATGGTGGTTGTGATAGGATTGAAAAGGGAGTTAAGAGAGAGAAGAGGCACTGTTGGGTTGGGAGGAAAAGGGAGAGAGAGAGAGAGAGTAGGGTTTGATTTCATTGTTAGGAAAATAGAGAAGGAAGATCTCGTCGTCAATGGTCTCCTTGTTGGAATCGGAGATACCAAAAAAATAGGCACTGTTGGGTTGGGTTGGGTTGGGAGAGAAGGAGAGAGAGAAGAAAGTGAGAGAATAAAGAAACAGAAGTTAATGGGTGGTGACTTGGTTTCAAAAAGCAAAAAGGGATATTTTGTAGGGTTTTTTCGTCTTTTCACACTTAATTTAAAGGGTAATATGGTCATTCTGTATAGGTAAGTAACGTCGTTTGTACAAAATTGACGGCTTGGGGGAATCTTGATATTGTCAGGTAAAGTAGGGGAGGTTATTGTAATTATTCAAACCACAGGGGTGGTCCCTGTATTTGTCAGAAACCTCAGGGGAGGTAAATGTAATTTACCCAAGTTTTTAATACATTTATTTATTAATAATGAAATGTCTGGGCAGATATGCACTTGTCTTTGTTGGATTTGACAATGTAATCTTGGATGATAAATGACCAAACGATAGTCATCATTGCACACGCCATAGAAAGGGACACCATCATGTGTCACGTGAGATGTCCCAATAACATTGGTGGATGTACTTTGCAGGCTGTAATTATTGGTCATAAATATATATAAAATTTTAATATCTAATTTATTCATGATATCTCAAATATCAATAATAATAATAATAATAATAATAATAAAAAATTCTAATTTTAAAACTCTAAATTGAGATAGTGATATAGGAAGAGAAAAAAAAATAAACAAAAATATAGACACGGCAAGTCGGTGGTGATCCTCCTCCTCAGGCATCTCAGTTTGGCTCAAAAACTCAAAATATATATATACGAAAAATGATTTGCACCTCCAGTTTTGAAGACCCCCGGCCCCCAGCTGATATGGCGGCACGCAATTGGTTGAATTTTTTTTTTTTTGATTTTCCCTTGGTCCACAGTCTCCCACGTGGAGTGGGGGTGCTGGGTCACCCCAACTGGGGTCCCCCGCATGGCTCATATATATATATATATATATATATATTATTTTTATTCTTATTTTTTAAAATTATTATCCAAATTCTTGAATTAAATACATTGATAAAATATACAAAAAAAAAAATATTAAAAGACTAAATCATGTCGTTACGTGAATCGTTACTAAAAAAATCGTCTTAAAATTTTTTTTAAAAATATTTAGTGGTAATTTAAAAAATACTATTAATAAATACACTTTTAAAAATAATAATTTCATGATTAAAATATTTATTTTCTCGAACTAGAATTTTAGTTGTAAAAGGATAATAATTTATCATTAAATATTAAATTTTGGACTGTTTTGATAAGACAATTAAAACCTAATTTTTTCACTTTTTAAAAAAAAACATGCAAAAAATATGAGAAATGATATAACCCAAAATAAGTTAAAAGATGAAAAATGGCACCATCTTTCCAAAATAGCCTTTCGTAGCTAATAAAAAAATTGGCAATCATGATATTTGGTCTTTAAAAAGAAATTAGATCCATAAATTTTTGTCTTTAAAATATTTATTTCTCCTGGGGAATGCTAATAATGATAGTTTTAAGGATTTTAAGGCTTCGTTTGACATAAGATTTTTTAGGTTATTTTACTCATAAAAAGGTAAAATAAGACAAAAAGTCAATAAAACAAAATCTAAAATCATAATCATTTCATTTCATTTTTTTTTTAACAAAATTCAAAAAGTTCAACCCAAACGAGATTTTTTAGTCTCAAACTAAAACAGTTAAAAACTGAAAAAGTTAACCCACACCTCAAACAAAGGTTAAACTATTACTCTCATATGTTCTTGGAGTGTGTTTGATTAGGGGATAAGGGAGGGACTATTTACTGTGCGGATTGTAATCCGGGGAAAGCATCCAAGTCACCGTTTGTCTTTTTTTTAGTTCGCATGGAGTCCGACCGGACTCCTTATCCCCCATATGGGAGACTATTGTGTCCTGGGGAGAGGGGGTATGAGAAAATTTTTGGGGGACTATCCACTGTTGGAACTAGGTGGTAAAATGACCATTTTGACCCTCTACTATTTAATTATGTATTATATTTAATAAAATTCAATAAAATTTAAATGTCTCAATTTAAAAATTAAAAAAAAAATTATTTAATTTTTATTGAAGTTTTATTTTAAAATTTTGTTTATATTTTATTTAATTTCATTATTTAAATTTTAATAGATGTTTTATTTAATTTCATTATTTAATTATTATTAGTTTTAAAAATAAATTTATTTAAAATTTTAATTAAAAAAATAACATATATTTTTATTGATATTTTATTTATTTTATTTTTAAAAAATAAATTTATTTAATTGTGTAAAAAATAAAATAAAATAAAATTTTATTTAATCTAGCTAAAAATAATTAAAATATTAAAGATATGTTTAATATTGCTATTACTTAGTAAACAATTGAAAAATGGTAGAATAGTCTTTTACACATTTATCTTTATCCAGTTTGTCCAACCAAATATTAGATTTACTAAAAATAGTTCTTTCTAGACATCTAATCTTATGAGAAAAAAAACACGGGATACACATCCAATCTAATCAAATAGTCCGGGGGATTCATAAAAAATATAAATTTTAAATTTTAAATTTTAATTTAATTAAAAATAATAAATTATAAATTATGGCCTTATGAGTTTTAA